GGGAGGAGCTAAATTTTTACTAACCGGGAGTTTTTGGTTATGGACCCATAGCATTCTCCGTCCTTTTGGCGCTGCAGTGGGGTTTCACCGGGGGTCAACTCACCCTCACCGGGTTCATCCCGCCTTTCAAGATCTTATGTAAATCAGCTCAAATTCTGTCCCGCATGCGCAGCACTCCTCAGAGCTGCCGAACCAGCTCAAGATTTTGCAGGCTCCGGGGGGCGGGAGGCAGAGCTACTTGCTGGTCAGCGGCTGTGTTCTCCAGGGCGGCTTGAGGGAGCCGTGATCTTCTATCCGCAGTGTCAGCGTCAGGAGCCTACAGGGGCCACGGCTGTCGCCACTCCAGACAACCAACACCCGGCCCCCTGGTTCCTCCCACCCAGAACCGAGCCGCGTGACGCCACACACCCCCTATGCCGGCGCGCACCGCTCCCAGACCCGCTGTGCCCAAGCTTCTCGCCAGTGTGCCGCCGCCTCCACCACGCAGCCCTCCGGCCTGGCCTCCCTGGGCTGCTCTCCCCGCAGCTCCGTGGCTCCCCGAAACACCTCAGACAGAAATACCAGACAGCGAACCCGGGTACCCAACTCCTCGAATCACCTGCATTTGCATTTCTTATGTAATGTACTGCAAGTTTCCCAGTTGGAGCCCTTTGGAATGGGGGCGCAAGATCACCGGAGGCTGAAACTGGGACTCGAGGCCGCCCGGCTCCCACCCAGGGGACCCCGACATAGGGCTGTGATTCTGCTTTGTAAAGGGGGGTTTAATTACATACATTAGGGGGGACCGAGCTAGTCTTCTCGGTCTGGAGTCCCCCCCAGCCATGGAAGCCCTGCTCAAGTATTCCCAGTAGCAGGAGGTGCGGGAGGCAGACCCGGGAATGAGTTAATACTCCGGCACCGGGAGCAGGAGGGGGAGGGAGGCGGGGGCTGACGGAGGAGCGGGGCGCGAGGGAGGGGGCATCTTTTACTTTGAGTAGAGGTGATGGGGTGGCGAATATTGTGCAAGCTAATCAGAAAGTCTAGAGCAGGTTCCGGGCACCGAGCTACGTCCCTGAACCTGCAGCAGAAGTAAGGAGAGCTCGCGGTTCTTTTTTCCTGGCAACTACGGAAGCTTCATCTGCCTCGGGCAGAACCTTGAGCCAAACCCCTTCCATTCCACCAAACATCGGCAACCAAATACATTTAAAAAAAAAAAAGTTTCCTCCTCCCTCCTCCTGATGGATGGTGTCACACAGCCAAGAGAAGCTGATAATGGTGTTCTGGCTCACCGACCGATCCAGCTGTTACTTGTTTATCCATGCAACACCTCTACATGCAACACTGTCCTGGTTCCTTCTCTGTCTCCCTTGCCTTCCTGCATAGCAAAACTGCAGATCTAGCTCAGTGAGCAACAGACAGGTTATTATGAGGAAAAGCATAACACGATGCATGTTTTGCTTACCAGTTGGGTTCTTGTTTTTCTTAAGACTCTTGCCACAAAGACACTGCAGCATATGCGTTCCTTTGCTGAAAATGTTCCAAAGAAACCACATTGATTTGGGCGAAAAGCAATCCAGCAGCTTAGACACCCTGAGAAAGAAGAGATCCTTGTGGTTGCATAATAATAATTTGAAATCAGTTCTTCTGAAGAGGGGCACCGGTTTTACCATAGGAAACACGATAATATTCCGAATCTTCTCCCAGTTTTTTCCCCTCACGTGGTATATTTCTTTGAGACTTCTCAGTGATTGTTTTTTTTCGGCCAGGATGAATGATTTATCTCTCCGGATCACCACTGGGTTATTACCAAAGGGTTGGGGGAAAAGTCCTTTTTCAGCATGAAGCCAAACAAAAAAGCAAAGAAATCCCAACTGAGCTCAGAACTAATCAGGGAGAACAGTAATGCACAAAAGATCGCCAAAGAGAAAACCATAGCCTTCACTTGATCGCTATGAGGATGGGTGGGTCTGCAGAAGGCGAAGCAGGATTCATCTCAGTGAGAGAGGACTGCCATTGTGTAGTCCCTAGGAGAGAAGGGGGGGAACCAAAGGAGAGAGAGAAAGAAAGGAAAAAGAAAGAAAAAAGAAAAAAAAAAACACCGGTACACACACTCACACACCAATACCACCTCCGAGATTGGGTCTGACAGCCGAAGACACAGCCTCCCAGTGTCGATTTTTTTTGTTTTTATAATCAATCGCCAGTGCCCAGTGGGATCGGATTGAACCTGCAGTTCTCAAATCACCACGAAGAAAAGATGCAAATCTAGGTGCCCCCTCCCCTGGTCAGGCCGGCAGCAGGTAGAGAGCGCCTCAGATCCCCTTCCTCCTTCTTCTCACTCGCCCAGTTCCCCACCGCGGTGAGCATGAGGAAAACCTCCCCTCCGGATTCCTCGCCCAGTCTCGGCTGTGAGTTACTGGCATTAGAGGGAGGAGGAGGAGGAGTTGAAGTTTGCATTGAAAAGACTGGCTTTCCATGACGTAGCCACGTGCTTTCAGACCCGTCACCAGTGAGATGCTTCCACCCGCCCAGGGAGGGCAGTGTCACTGCAGTCTCTCCGCTAGTTCCCCTCCTGAAGTCCCCCGACCGCCCGCGCCGGCCCCAGCCTCGGACCCTCTCCCTCCTCTGCCCAGCGTGAGGAGGCTTGCTGGTGGCTCTAGGAGCCATCTAACAGACCTTTCTGTTAAAAGTGAATTTGGAAAAGAAAAATGAACAATTATAATAAGTAAACCTTAAAAAAATACATGGGGGTGGGGGGGGGGACTTAAAGAGAAACAGTAGTTTAATACCACTCTTCACAGCTTACATTAGTTCCACCTTATCTTTTCAAAAGCAGCATCTAAACCATTAAGGAAAACTCACGTTCCTTTAGTTGGTATTATTGGAATCCTACTTAACGTGCTGTTTGGAAAATATAAACTAGACATAGGACAAATATGTACTTGCAGAAGCAGCCTGTTAAAAGGGCAACCACTGAAATCTAGGTGGTAAGATGTGTTTTGGTAGGGAGGGCCATATGTACATGGGAAATAGTATGCCTTTTCTAGACAATTAATTCATTATCATCAAATAATTTTTTGAACAGAAAGCACTCTGCTTAAATCACACCCTAATTCATTGCTTGTTTCTATAACCATTAATTGAACATTAAATTCACCCTTATTCACTTCTCATCTACGCTAATATACAACCTTGTTATCAGCCACCACAATCTAACCTAACAAAATGGGCAAATATAAACCAGCTCCCTACTTTCCCAGAAAAATAAAAAGATTTAGGGCTGTTGTTTTATTTTATCTTATTGGGGGGAAACAATGCCATGTGCAAAAATAGCACAAACTGTTACAAAGAATAAATAACAAACCCCATGTACTCACCACTCAACATTAGTACATGTTAACATGTCATCATATCTGTGAACTGAGGAGTTTGGGAAAGTAAAATTACCCACTCTCACTCTTTCAAAGTAAAGGTAAATGAATTAAAGTTATTTCAGCTTATTTCCATTTCTATAGAAAAATTGACATAAAATTTTAAAATATATATGTAGAAGCTTCATTTTACTATCAAAATATTAAAAATGCTTCTACTCCATAGGATTTCAAACTATCTTATAAACAAATAGATGCAGACTTGTGTTGCTGAGAATAAATTGAAGAAATTGATTTTGAAGAAAATTAACGCCTCAGTTATCAAAAAAAGAAATTGTAGTCAATAACTTCCTCACTGCTATAGTTTTCTAATATTCATGAGACATTTTGAGATGCCAAAATGTGCATCCAATATCTGGAACCCTTTTGGGAAACATCAGTCAATTTTAGATAAGGTAGAAAGGGAATTTAAAACAAGTAAATTCTATTTAAGTAAAGGAACCAGAAAGTTAAATAGTGATGGTCTCAATGTGCCAAAAGAATCATGTCATAGCTTAAAAGAATTACTATGATTAACTGGAATCTAAATAAAGTTTGGGAAGTAAAGAAAGAGGAAATACTAAGTGTTTATGAATTTAATGACAAATGACTTAGGAGAAGCAGGATGAAAAGAATAGAATTCTTTTTTTTTCTAAAGAGTAAAACTGGCATAGCATTGCCAAATAATTAGGATTATTTTTATATCAGTCAATCGGGGATAGATATCATATGCTGCTTCTAGCACATTTTGGTGTCCAGTTCGGGGGCGAGGGGTTCTGGAATATCCCAATCTATTACCACTGGATATATTCCAGAGAAACAAATGGATAAAAAATATTCTCCATCTAGGTCTTTTGAACTCTCACATCTCTTAAGTTTCCCTAAAAACTTGCTGAGTCCCCTGGGATATTTCACAAGTAAAATAAAATCTGGGGAGGTGTTCTGTAACTATTGGATCTTTTTGTATGCTAAGTTTATGTGAAGAGAGTATTTCTCAAACCAGCTTTTCTTGCATTTTCAAATTGAACTCTCTTTTCTACATTGTAACAGTAAATTTGATTCCTATTACAATAAAGAATGACTGCAGAAAGCTATGGGATGTTTTACTATATATTGGTGGAAAGCTGATTACTTCTTTGTCCTAGTGACCAACACAAAAGGTAATTAACTGTGGCTACTACTTATTGAGATTCTATTAATCCAGGCTGTGCTAGTTGCTTCTCATCTTTTATGCTCTTTAAAGGAAGGAGAAATCTTTTATAATAATGTGTGAAATTTCTATAATTCTTTTCTATACTTAGTTTACATAGGCTATTATTCACATTATTCAACAAACAAACAAATACCAAATTTTTTTGTCTAGAAAAGATGGCCTAATACTGATTCAGGTTACCGTTGGTCCTAAGGATGAAGGGTGATCCAAGAGTCAACCCAGGTTTCTGGGGGCCTCCGGTTTAAGGATGATCCTAAGATATTTATACTGACCTGAGTTTAGACCATTATTTAAGTTGTGTGGGTTTGGGTTTTTTTTGAAGATATCAAAATATTTACTTACCCTTTGCCACACTACATTCAAATCAATATTAGATGGCAAAAAAATGAAAATTATCAGAATGTAAGCATTAGAATGCATGTAAGTAAAGATAGAATAAGGAAAGCCTCATGGTAACTGTAAAAATGAACAGTAAAATCTGTAGTATATATAGGTAGAAAAATCTTAAAACTATTTTCATAGGTTGAAACAAGATAAACCCAGTACTCATAATCGAGTTCAGTTAAAATTGAAACTTAGCTTCAGCTATATCATAGTAAAGAGACCTAAAAATAAATGTAGTGGCCAGAATTCCAGGTCACAATAAAATATACATTTTAATTTAGGACATATAAATGTCTATGAGATTATCAAAATCTTTATGACTGTCTTAGCATGCTCTTTCTAATTGTCCCCAATAGTTACTCTTCTATTTTATTCTTCCTTTTAATAATAAAACCCCACCCCACCACAGTTTTGAAAGGGCTCATGGGTACCCAGATAGAAAATATAATTCCCAGCCTCCATTGCAATTAAGTATGGTCATGTGACTATATTCTAACCAAAAAGATGAGAGCAAAAGTGACCCATTGAACTGCCTGGTCACATTCTTCAAAGGAAGTCTCTCTCTCTCTCTCTCTCTCTCTCTCTCTCTCTCTCTCTCATCAATAAATAAAAACAAGTAATTTAAAAAATAAAAGTAATTTTTAAAGTATCACTTTAGTACCATTTGCTTCCTCTCCCTTGTTCCTATATTGACTCATGGCATAGAAAACCTCTGCTCCTTTCTCCCGGAGGCAACAGTCTGGAAAGGTAACTCCGGTTCTTCTCTCTGCCCCCTCCCAGGTTCTCAATGAAGAAGGAATGATTTAAGTGGTCTAGTCCCTTCTTTTCTCTGTCTCTTTGGATCTGCCTACATGCAAGAAAAAAGTTTTCATGATCCTCTGCTTCAGTTCCCCTCTGCAAAAAGCATTGTGTGAGCCCTGGCCGGTGTGTCTCGGTTGAATCATCCTCCCATACACCAACAATTCGTGGGTTCGATTCCCGGTCAGGGCATATACCTAGATTGCAGGTTCAGTCCCCAGTTGGATGCAAATGAGAAGTAACCGATCAATGTGTCTCTCTTCCTTCCTCTCTCTAAAAGTCAACGAACATGTCCTCAGGTGAGGTTTGAAAAAAAGCACTGGGTCAGCCTTGAACCTACAGTCTATCTTCTAGAAACAGGTGTGGAGACCAGTCTTTCTCTGAACTCATTATGGGAGACATCATCAGTACTTCACATATATCCTTTTCATCCTGCCTTATCAGTGTGCTGTGGTTGGCTCCCAGCTTCCAGTGTCTCCATCTCTGAACCTGAGGGATCTTTGTCCAAACCACGAAAGGTCCCTCTCTGTGCCCAGGCACTCACAGAGTAGCCTGAGAATGAACACTCCCTCAGAGAATGTTCCCATGACTAAACACCACAGCTTCCTTACCTTGTGGGAAGGAGAATGATGAGGCATGTGTTTTATATCCCTTCCCAGATTTTCCTTGTGGAATAAGACAGTCTCCCACCAGGATAGCTGGTTTATCAGCATACCATTGGCCCTCTCCCCTTCCCTATATCCATTCCCCACTCATCTACTATATTCTCTCCCTGAGAAACTACTTGTATTAGAACCTTTATCCTCCATGGAAACTCAAACCAAGACAGGGTTGAAGAGAGAATAGCACTGGGTAAATGTGGGTACTCTCCAGCTTCAAACTCTTCCATCAATGATTTTTGCAATTTCCAGATGTGGGGGAAGTATTTAGGGCAGTGGTTCTCAACCTTCCTAATGCTGCGACCCTTTAATACAGTTCTTCATGTTGTGGTGACCCCCAACCATACAATTATTTTCGTTGCTATTTCATAACTATAATTTTGCTACTGTTATGAATAGTAATGTAAATATCTGATATGCAGGATGTATTTTTATTGTTACAAATTGAACATAATTAAAGCATAGTGATTAATCACAAAAACAATATGTAATTATATATGTGTTTTCCAATGGTCTTAGGCGACCCCTGTGAAAGGGTCGTTTGACCCCCAAAGGGGTTGCGACCCACAGGTTGGCGACCCACAGGTTGAGAACCGTTGACTTAGGGAAACCAATTCTA